CATCCGAGGGGAAGGGACTGCAGCATAGGACGGAGGCTGAAGGCTTCTGTCATTGAGATAGGGGCTTGGACACCCGAAAACCTTGTGCACAGCTCCTCCTGCCCATGGCAGGGACAGGCCCTTCCTCTCAGTTTGAGATGGGCTCTCCCTCATTTACCCAGGCTGGGCTCCAACCTTTGATCCTCCTGACTCAGCCTCCCAGAGTACTGGGAGTACAGGTGTGCCGCACCACACCCGATTGGGTAGCTCTTGCTCCCCTGGAGCAGTGGGCAGGCCTGGGGTGGGTATCGAACATCGATACCTGTACCTGCGGGGCGCGTCCTGTTTGGAAGCACTTTGCTTTCAGGAATCTGTGTATTCTCTCTCTTCCCGTCTTACAGATATGGAAACTGAGGCACAGGGGCATCATGGGCGTGTGGTTGCCCACACAGCAAGTCGGGAAATCTGATTCCAGATCTGCGTTCTCACTACACGGTGCCATGCGGAGGGGAGGCCCGATACCTGTACCTGCGGGGCGCGTCCTGTTTGGAAGCACTTTGCTTTCAGGAATCTGTGTATTCTCTCTCTTCCCGTCTTACAGATATGGAAACTGAGGCACAGGGGCATCATGGGCGTGTGGTTGCCCACACAGCAAGTCGGGAAATCTGATTCCAGATCTGCGTTCTCACTACACGGTGCCATGCGGAGGGGAGGCCGGGAAGGGACTGCCGAGGGTCCTGACTCCCAGGGAGGCCCACGCGCCCTAGGAGCACTGTCCCTGCGGAGTCTTATCCCTGCAGTTTTGGGGCCTGAGACAGGCCGGGAGAGGATGTACGGGGGTCTCAAGCTCCACAGTGCAGGCTCTCAGCACCTCAGTCCCATCTTTTACAGTCATGGCTGGGATGGGGCGGAGGGGCCTGAGCCAGAATGGCCCCCTTAGAGCCCCTGTCCAGGGCAGTGGGCTGGAGCTCAAGGCCAGCCCCTCCTCCCCAGTGGACCCCCAGAATAGCAGCCTTATGTCTCCCCCAAAATAGCTCGAGACAAGTTCTTCCTGAAAGGGGAACAAAGCCACAGAAATAGGGAAGCTGGAGGCTGAAGGTCAGGATGGAGGAGGACACAGCGTCAGTGCCACTGTGGACGGCTGGGGCAGGGAGGGGGTCCACTGGCCCTGCTCTCGGGCCGGAGAGGGTCCGGGAGAGGTCCTGGTCTCGTGTGACAGGGAAGGTATGTGCAATGGAATTTGCAGGGAGGCCTCTGGAGATAGGCTCGGAGAGGGTCTGTTGCTTCTCCAAAATTACCCAGCATGCCCAGCAGTGAGACAAGCAGACTCAAGACTGTTTCCTGCAGACAGATGCCACAGCCAGGCCACCTTCTGCAGCCTGTGCAAGCGCCTGAGCTCCTGCTGGACCAGGCTTTTCTCCATTCGGTCCACTGCACTTAGTAGGTGCTCAAGAAACACTCAGCACTCTGATGAAAGCTGTCTCTCCTCCAGAGCTGTCCGGAGCCCACAACGCCACGGTGTTCCAGGGCGTGGCGGGCCGGTCCCTGCAGATCTCCTGCCCCTACAACCCCGCAAAGCACTGGAGCCGCCGCAAGGCCTGGTGCCGGCAGCCGCACGAGGAGGGCCGGTGCCAGCGCGTGGTCAGCACGCACAGCCTGTGGCTGCTGGCCTTCCTGCAGAGGCGGAACGGGAGCACGGCCATCGTGGATGATGTCCTGGGCGGCACCCTCACGGTGACACTGCGGAACCTCCAAGCTCACGACGCCGGCCTCTACCAATGCCAGGCCCTCCACGGCAGTGAGGCGGATACGCTCCAGAAGGTGCTGGTGGAGGTGCTGGAAGGTGAGCACCTCTGGCCTTGGACCAGGCCCAGGCCTCCTATTTGGGGTCCCTGTGTGCAGGAGCATCCTCTGGGCTCTTTGCAGCCCTGGGAAAACCCGCACTGTGGGACCTGAAGATGGCCTTGCAGGTTGCTCACCGCACGAGAGCCCAATCCAGGCTGTGCTCCCGGGTGCAGGGCTACGGCACCTGCAGGAAGGGCATGAAGACATTGCCTGCCTTGGCCCTGCTTCTTTGAGCCCTTGTACTCTACAGATTAATTTATCCTCTCATCTGAACGTCCAGTGGACCCACAAGCAAACTAAGCACCAACTGGGTGCAGAAAGATACCCTGGAGAACATCACCCCCACACTCGTGTGTGTGCACACACACACACACACACACACACACTCACACACGCATCAGTGGAGATGCTGGTGTCTGTCCCTGTGACCCCCAGGGTTCTCAAGAGCGCCTGGGAGCAGGGGAGGGAGGACGCCCCACACAGCCTCCTGCCTTTCCTGGCACGGGTCCTCACTCTGGACCTCGGGACTTCTGTCTGGATGGCCCAGGTCTCAGACCGGGATCCCCGAAGAGAGCAGCTCCTGCTCACAGATCCCTTCCGACTCTCCCACCCCACTCTGCCCTTTTGTCCTGGGAACAGGATCAGGAGTGATTGACTCGGGGGGTGGGCAACAGGGAACCCCTGGGCACAAACCCCTCCTCCCTCACAGCCCTAAGGAGCTGGGGAGGAAGAGACATAGAGTTTTCAGCCCAGCCATCTCCCCAGAGGGTGGCAGAGAAGTCGTGATGTAGCCACAGAACCCACGTGGTGCAGACAGCTTGGCAGATTATACGGTTTGCAAAGCTGTGCATTTGCTCTTAGCGGATCTTGTGCCAGTGCTGGGTATCTGTGGAGATGCTGTCTTGGGGATCCACCCCCGGTTCCTGGGAGGCCCTGGGTGAGGGCTAAGGGCCAGATCTGGGTCTTCTCATCTGGCAGCAAGAGGGCTGTCTCCCACAGACTCCCAGGAGTGGCGGGAAGACGTGAACATCTGGGGCCCCGAGGAGGAGTCTGAGGCCTTTGGCGGTGCCCAGGTGGAGCAGAGCATCTCCAGGTGCCATGGGGTCCTCTTCTCAGAGTCCTGCCCAGCTTCCACCCCACAGAGCCTGGCACGGGGCTGGGAAGGGGCAGTTCCAGGGCACTCGGCAGGAAAGGGGTCAGGTGTGGCCTTGCTTAAACCCCTAATTCCGAGGCAAAGAGCGCTGCTGTCAAACCCTGGGTAGGCAGCCTTTGTACAGCTCCACAACCTGGCAGCAGGGCTAACAACCACCGAGTGAATGCGCGTGGGCGCACACACACACACGCCACACACACGCGCACACACACACGCCCCAATCAGGAAGGTGGTGTTCAAAGGCACCTAGCAGGCTGAGGCAGAGCCTGGTCTACACTGACCACAGTCTTTCTGACCACAGAGTCCCGTCCCCGGGAGGGGCAGGTCACCCGAGCCTGGGGCCCATTTCTCCCCATCCCTTCCTTGAGGGCAGACTCCACTCCCAGCACCCCGCATTCATCTGCCTCCTCTGTCCCCTCGCAGCCTCCCGGGGGAGACCCCCTTCCCACCTGCCGCCATCCTCCTTCTGGCCTGTGTCTTCCTCAGCAAGCTTCTCATTGCCGGGGTCCTCTGCGCTGTAGGCCGGCGGAGGCGAAAGCTGGGGACACCTCTGGCCAGGGAGCTGGACGGTGGCCACGACCCAGGGCACCAACTCCACACTCTGACAGGTGCACCGGGTGAGTGGGCTGTGGCTGGGGGGCCTGGCGTGGCTGGGGGAGGGGGCTGAGGGCTCACTGTTGCCGGTACTCTGACAGGTGCACCGGGTGAGTGGGCTGTGGCTGGGGGGCCTGGCGTGGCTGGGAGAGGGGGCTGAGCGCTCAGTCTGTTGCAGGACCAGGGGACGCGTGAGAGAAAGGACCCCCGGCCTGGGACCACCTGGCCCTTGCGCTCACCCTTTGGCCGCCAAGCCTCCTGGATCTCCTCTGCTACAGCAAGGGGCCACTCTGCCCGCACTGAGCTCGTGTGTTCGTGCGTGCACGTGTGTGATAGGAGTGGTTGCCTGTGAACTCCTGGCTTTGGACATTAAAATGCTTACAAACCGATCCAAGACTGGTCAGTTTTCCTGGATGGTTTGGGCTTCACAAAGGTTTTCTCCTTTGCTCAGGGTGTGGAAAAGGAGTTTGGCTGAGGGAAAGATATCGAAGCCCTCTGTTCCCACAGGCTCCCACCGCCAAGTCCTGCCCTTCGCTGGACCTCACCAGCACCTGGTGCCTCCCTCAGTTCTCTCCCCTGGTTGTGGGAGGATGTTGGCCCCTTCCCCATCTGACTTGGCTGAGTCCTCCGTCTCCCTAAGCTCTGTTTTTCATCTACGACTTCCCTTCTGGGGTGCAGTCATGGTGAGAACCAAAGACATCACAGCTGGGTACTGCAAGCCTCTTACAGTACACAAGGTAAACGGAGGCTCAAAAAGGGCAAAGAGCTCTCCTGAGGTCTCCAGTAGAGCCTGGAAATCCAAATGTCACCTGGCACTCCTGGTACCTTTCCTCTAGCTCCGTCCTATTCATTCATTCAAAGTGGGGGCCTCTGCAGATGTCAGGGAGAGGAAAATGGGCAAAGGGTCCCGTTCGTGTACCAGCAGGTAGGCAGACAGACAAGAAATGCAATAAACAAGTCTGAGAGGATGGCAGGGAGCAAAGCGCTGAGGGAGAAATGAAGTGAATCAGGGTGAAGACGCTGGCGTGTGGAAGGGATGGGGCCAAACCCCGCTAAACAGCGGCCGAAGGTGCCCTTTGAGAAACGCTGGGAGGGAGTGAGCCAGGAGGACATGAGGGGCCCTTTGGGCCTGGCTCCCAGGACGCACTGGGCAAGAGAAAGGGGGAACCCAGGCGCCGTCCCAGGGGGCAGCTGCTGGAGAGGCTCAGCGCAGGAACACCAGGTCCCCTGCCCTGCAGCTCCCAGGCCAGTCTGGGATCTTTCGCTTCCTGGTACATTAAATGTCCCCATTGTGTTCTGGGCTGTTGCTGTGTCCTCCTGGGTCCAGGCAAAGTCTAGGGCTCCCTCTTCACTGGCTCCCATCGGGGCACCTGTGTGAGGGGCTCCCCGGGTGTGCCCCACCCCAGCCCAGACTCCAGCTGTCCTCCCACCGGAGCATGGCCTTCTCTCCTTCCTGCACTGCCACGTCACCCCCAGCCCCCTGGGACGCTGGGCACACATTATACAGAAGGGGACCTGGGTCCCTGGGTTTTTGCTTCACCTCTGTGTCCCAGCGAGACACCTGGGGGACGTCCCTCAACTCCTCCGTGCCTCAGTGTACCTGCTTGTGTAAGTCAATCACCCAGCATCTCGCTTTGCCTACTTCACAGGGTTTGGGTGAGGTTAAGAGAAACACCGTTTGTGGAAGTCCCTGGCCAGGTGTCCAGCCGCAGTGGGTCCTCAATAAGCCCAGCAACATGGCACCTCCCTGGGTCCTTCCTGAGTTCCCAGTACCCCAGCCGGGATCCTGTTCATTTGAGGAGCTCAGCTAAATGCTGGGTCACCGTCCTGCAGGCAACCCATCGCGCCTGGATGGCTTCTTCCTGGGCAAATAACTTCCTTTTATGGAAGCAAGGAGGGGCATGGTGTGGCCCTCGTGGGGTGGACAAGGCAGGCTCCCTCTCAGCCACTCAAAGCCCAGTGAGGTGACAGTGGCACTGTGCAGCTGTGGCCAGCGGAGCTCCTGGCATCACCCTTGGAGTTCCCACGCCGAAATCAAAGAACTGCCAGGAATCTGCAGGCCAGGTCAAAGGACTGGTTTGCAGAGGACGTGTCCAGCTGGAGTATGAAAGCCCCTTGTCCCAGGAAGCTCTTCATTCCCAGGCAGGCGGGGACAGATGGTCAGCCCACCCGCCGTGTCCCTGGATGCTCAGTCTAACACGCCACCAGCTGTCTCATCCCCTGCTCCGGTCTCGCCTCAACTCCTTGTGGCTGAAGGAGGAGGACAGGAAAGGAGGGAGGAGAGCGAGGAGGGATTCCCAGCCACGTGGGCCACTGTGATCGCTCTGATGGCTGCCAGCACCCTGCTGCCCATGGTGGATGGAATTCCCTGGGGGGGTGGGGGGGGTGGGGAGCGCAAGCGAGGGCCCAATGTCTCCTGTGCTGGCAGTGGGTTTGTGTCACAGGAGAGGAACCCAGATCAGGAAACTTGCAGGAGAGGGGGACAGGGTGGGGGAGGAGACAGCAGGAGTGGGATTCAGGAGAATCGGCTCCAACAGAGAAATCGCATTCAAGAAGCAAAAGTCACGTGCTCTAAACAGAGAACGCTGGGAGGGCAAGAAAGATATCTTGTGCATTAAAAATATCACGGAATAAAAATTTAAAAGACAACAATGAAGAAAAGGGTGGAGGAAAAATAGGAGGAAATCAGCAGGCAGAAACAATGGACAAAAAGATGGAAAAATGAGAGAAAATGATACGAAAATAATTCAACGAAGTAACATGTTACAGGGGAGGGGAAGAATAAGGAGAAACAGCTATCAAAGAAAGAAGCCACTCCTCCGGCACTGAAGACCATGGATGTCACGGAAGGGCCGAGTCTGGCAGCCGTGCAGGATGGGGTGGGGGTGCCACCAAAGTGGGGCTTGGGCACTCGGCCTGCGCTGGCAGAGGGAGGCTTCAGGGTTTGACCGAAGACCGCCCCATCCTCCTCTGCCCTCCTCCCTCTCCTAGGCTTTCGGACTGACTGGCCCACCCCTACCTGGGGCAGTGCGGGGCTGGGCAGAACTCCATCATCCTCCCTGGAGGTGCCCACCCTGCGGTCCAGCCGGCCCCACACGTGACCACGGGAGACAGCTGTTTCCTGCCCTCGGGGGAGGCTGTGCCAGTGCCCGGGCGAGTCCTGGCGGACACCTCCCTGCTAGCCATGGGCCCCAGCCTGCTCCTGCTGCTGCTGCTGCTGCTGGGACTAGAAGGTAAGGTGTAGAAAGCCACACCTCCTTCCCTGCCCGTCTGGAGGCTCCAGAGTCCCCAGCCAGCCCAAGGGTGGCTTGGCCGACAGCCCCAGCTCTTTGATTGGCAATTCGCCTGCACCCCCTTTCCTTCCCTAGGCTGGGGCTCTGCTGACAGCCACCCCGAGGTGCTGAGGGCTCCCGTGGGGGCCTCCATCCAGCTGCAGTGCCACTACCGGCTACAGGATATCCGGGCACGCAAGGTGTGGTGTCGCTTCGTGCCCGAGGGCTGCCAGCCCCTGGTGAGCTCAGCTGTGGACCGCAGTGCCCTGGGGAGCAGCCGTACGTTTCTCACCGATGTGGGCGGGGGCCTGCTGCAGGTGGAGATCGTCTCCCTGCAGGAGGAGGACACAGGCCAGTACGGCTGCCTGGTGGAGGGCGCCGCGGGGCCTCACTTGGTGCACACCTTTGCCCTCGAGGTACTGCCTAAAGGTGAGTTGGTCCAGCCCTTCCCGCTACCACCCAGGGCCAGGGCTCCTGGACTCAAGGGACAGGCTGCTGGGGGTCGGGAGATTCCCTTGGACAGCTGTGCGGGCAGCGGAAACCACACCGGTCTGGAAGGCTGAGATAAGGCCCTTCCCTCCCACTGGACTCCCCTTCCAGCATCTTCCACATACTAAACGCTACCTTTTTATGTATTTTTAAACTTAGAATTAAAAAACAAAAAGGCAGGGACTCACTATGTAGTTCACGTGGGCCTTGGACTCTCTATGGAACCCGGGCTGGCCTGGGACTCGCAGCGAGCCTCCTGCCTCAGCACGGTGGGATTACGAGCATGTGTCATTCTGCCTGGCTAAAATTAGGAATGTTTTTAACAAAGCTGAATTCAAGCATACCATCTGAAATTAATTTTTACACTTTCCAGTTTTTTATTCCTGTAACATTCGATGACTTAAAACTTAATGAATCTATATCTTATTTAACTGTACCACTTGTGGTGGGTACCTATGGTAGAAAACTACAATGTTATTATTATTGTTTTTTAATTTTTTAAACAGGGTCTCACTATGCAGTTTAGGCTGGCCTTGAACTCACTATGCAGCCAAGACTGGCCTCAAACTCACAGTGATCCTCCTGCCTCTGCCTCCTGAGTGCTGGGATTACTGGCGCGTGCCCCCACACCTGGCTATAATGTTATATTAAAAAAATAAAACTGTTCTGGGGGGAAAATGTCAGCCACCTGAAAAGAAAACTGCTGCTACTCCCCGCCACCAGTTTTTGGTCTTTATTCTCAAGTAATTTGTGCCCTCCAATAATAAAACTAAAAACGGGCATTTTCTCTGCTTTTATTTTTCCCCTAAGTAAGAGGGAGAACTAAGCTATCCTTGGAATCCCTGTCGTCCCTAGTGAGTAGTTACTCTTTGACACTTTTTTTTTTGGTACTGGGGATCAAACTTAGGACCTTGCATTTGTGAAGCAGTTGGCAGAACCATTGAGCTAAATCCCGGGGTCCTTATCTGACACTTCAAACACAGTTAAGTTACCCTTGTTACTCTTTGGCCCCCTCACCCCACACTCTGAGGTCTAGCACCCCAGGGTTTTGGCTCCCTAGAAAGCAGACTGCCATCAGACAGAGCCCTGGGGAAGAAGGGGCAGGGGGCAGGGTCGGGGCGTCCCTGCTGCAGTGGGAGGAGCCCCTGGGGCCCAGGGGCGGCTGGGGACTCCACAGGCATTGGCGGTAGAGAGGCTCATTCAGGTGTCCCGTTGGCACCAGGAAGTTGTGCATGGCAGGATGGGTGGTTTTCTAATAATAATAATAGTGATGATGATGATATTTAAAATATCAAATTTTAAGAAATACTTAGATACTGGAACGATTGTGGGCTGTGAGAACGAACCTATAAAAGCAACACGGTTCCTACACTGAAATTCGGGTTGAGAATGTTGACGTATATATCAGGGAGACCCTCAGCACGTGGCAGGGAACAGGGATGGTGAATCCCTCAGGAACGCGGCAAGGCCCCCATCGCAGGTACCTGGAAGGCCTGCCTGGGCACCCAGGATGCATCTGACCCAAGAAAGCACACGGAGGGTGACAGGAGCTCGCCCCAGGGACACTGAGTTAGCTGGCGCACAGCACAGGCCCCAGGGACACTGAGTTAGCTGGCGCACAGCACAGGGGGCAGAGTTTGGGAGGAGGCCAGCGTGCCTGCAGGTGCGGGGGTCCCAGGGCTGCAGGGGTTGGGGAACCTCGTGTGAAACCCGAGAGAGCTAGGAACAAGGACATCTTGAGGATGGAGGGGGAAGAAATGGGGGGCAGAGGAAGTGGTGCACTCCCAACCAGCCAAAGGACAAGAAGTCGGTGCAGGCTGGGACTTTCGGTGGGAGCCCCTAAGGCCAGGCCCAGTCTCGCCCTCTTTGTGCCTCTCCTCTGGCCTCTGTTCCCTGGCTCCATCTTCCCCACCACGGACCTCCACCAGTCATGGAGGCCCACAGAGTGCCTACCCCACTCACTGTGTTCTTCTGCCACAGATCCTGGCCTGGGAGAGGAGAAAGAGGAGCAGAAGGAGGAGGAGGAGGAAGAGATCTATGGGACTGGCACCCAGGCTGAGGACCCCTTCTTGGGCTCTGAAGATGGCACCAGCCACTGGGGGCTCAGCCAGCATAAGAGGTGGGAAGACTGGATCTGGTCGCTGGGAGGAGGGCGTGGTGAGGACACTACATGTTTTGAGCTCCAGACTAAATCAAATGCGGGTGCTGCTTATGGTTCCTTCCTCCCCTAGGAACTTTTTTTTTTGGTACCGGGGATCAAACTCAGGACCTTGTGCTTAGGAGGCAGGTGTGGTGCCACTGAGCTAAATCTTTGCCCCCAACCCCAGGAACTTCTGATCACAGACATACAGACAGACAGACCAGACAAGCGGCAGAAAGATACCTGTGGATTTCAGCCAGGACGTCCTGTCTCTTTCTGTACCCCCCTCCCGCTAATCCTGCCTGACTCTTCTGTCCTCAGCATTCCCTTGACCTGGGGTATCGTGCTCCTGCTGGGCTTGCTGGTGGCAGCTGTGGCGCTCTTTGTTGTGATGGCCAGAAGGAAAGGTAGGGAGCTGTGCACTGCTTGTCCCAGCCTGTTTCTACAGGTATCCGGGTTTGCACCCCTCTAAAGGGATGGGGGGCTTTAGTCAAGGTCTCCCTACCCTAGAATTCCCATGGCTGAGGGATGGAAGGGGGGTTCAGACTCAGTGGGGCAGATGGGAAGTGGAAGGATGCGGCCGTGGGATTGGACGAAGACGGGTTGTGGGGGAGGTCCAGGCAGGTCCAGGGTGGGTGGTGGGCATGGAGACGGTGAGTCCACTGGAAAGAGGTTTCAGAGGCTCCAGAAAGGAGTGAGGGAATAGGCTTGGAGCCGCCCAGGAAGTAGACTGTGTTGCTGTTGCTGACCTTGCAGGGAACACACTTGGTGTCCGGGACCAATTCCAGAGCAGCAGAGCCTCGGACACGGTAAGAGGGCTCTGCAGGTCCCAGCCCGCCGTGCATACTCGCGAGAGGACCAGCCTGATGGGTGGCGAGGGATGGACAGAGACCCAGTCAGGGTCCAAACCCTCTCCTAATGCCATAAACTCGGCCCCAACCTCCTCAGATCTGGAGAGCAGCTTGGGCTTGAAAAGCTTCAAAGCAAAACCTGCTTGCTCACTGATGGGCTTAGGATTCCACAGGCTGACGCAGTGTGGACCCCGCTTCCCACCAGAGGGAGCCAGGGCGGAGGGAGGCCTCCTCCTGACCTGCCTGCTGTTCCACACAGGATCTGTCCTCGACAGCCCACCATGTGGATGACTCTGGACAGGCAGCCGGTTTGCCGTTGGACGTGAGGCTCGACTTGTCCCCCTCCTTTGACAATTCCACCTACACCAACCTGGCGTTTGAGCCCCCATCAGGAAAAGCCCCGACCCCACCCCTACCCTCGCCACCCGCTCTGCCTCCTAAAGTTGTGATGTCCTCCAAGCCTGTCACTTACGCCACAGTCACCTTCCTGGGAGGGGACAGAGGTGGAGTGGCCTCCAGTGAGCTGATCCAGGACCCACCCAGCAGCCCAAGCCCACCTAGCTAAGCAGCTCACCACACTGGCTACTCAGGGACGATCCCGGGGCTGAGCATCCCTGTCCAACCCATGAGTGCTCTAGATCAGGGGTGGCGAACCTATGGCACCTGTGCCGTAGCGGGTTGTTTGTATCACAGAAAGCTCTAAAAGGTTCGCCATCACTGGGCTAGATCCTTGGAATATGGGAGCAGCTCGGGGTTTTGAGGTCTAATCTAATATCCTGACATTACCAACAGGGAAGGTGACGCTCACATCCGATAGAGGTGTTTTGGGGATACTAACCCGTCTGCTGGGTCCTCTGCAGTGACACACTGGGCTAAATAAACCCTAAGTGAAGATATGCGTGTCCTGAATGGCTGGGTGGGGGAAGAAAAGGGTTCCAGTCCGACTGGAACTGAAGACTTCTTGAGTTTATCCTGCCTGATCTGATTCTCTGGCCTGTGGGGAAGTGGTTTTTCCCCTGGTCAGAGCCCTGCGAGGCACTAGGGGGCACTGAAAAGACTGCTTCGAAACCAGCCTCTCAGGATGTCTGAAAGTACACGTTCTTTTGCTTGGGTCCAGGAAGCTCTGCTGCCTTCTGCCCTGCACCTTGGGAACAAATGACACGTTATTACGTGGCAGTGTGGTGGACGTTGGGCAGTCAGTGATAAGTTGGAAGGCTCGGGACAGATGGGGTGCGGGACTGAAGAGAATCAGGAGAAAGGACAGAAATGGAAATAGACGGCACGTCTGGGCCCCGGAAGGACAAAATCTTCAAAAGCACTGGGATATAAAAGACCTTCGGGGAAGTCAGGCTTGGGCAGGGAGCAGGCTGTCACAGCTTGGTTCCCATGGGCAGCACTGTTCCCTCTGGCCTGGGGAGGGCCAGGGGCAGGGCCACAGTCAAGGGTAAATGAAAGCTAGTCCAGGTCAGAGGCGGAAGGGCCTTGAAGGTCTCTGCTGGGATTTCCTGGTAAGCTGTTAAGTTTGAAAACATCTCCCCGTACAGGGTTGGAGGACTTACGTGGAAGGGTGAAGTACTAGGGAACCAACTTTTGGAACAATCAGGGTGAACACAGCAGAGAGCGAGGTTTCCCCTCAGAAGGTCCCGAAGGCTGGGCCTCGGCTCCTCATCCCAAGCCTCAGGCTTGCCTTTCCCCCCACCTTCTCCCACACCTATCTGCACCCCATGCATCTCCAGAAAGTCCCCTGCTCCCTTCCAAAGCCACAAGTAGTGCGCTAGGAATCTGGTCCCTGCTAACCTTCCAAGGTCTGCGTTCCCTCTCCCCTCTCTTCGGACCGTTCTCATCAATATCTTAGACAAAACCAAACAGAACAAAAATAACCCACCCATCTCCTAATCTACCACATCCTTTTGTCATTGGCTCCAATTTCTGCTACCTTCCCAGAGGGGGAGGGGGAAGAATTGGCTAAACAATTCACTGTTGAGCCAGATGATCTAACAGCTAACCCTCCTCACCCTGCTTGCTACCCTCCTGGCTGCCCAGGGCTCGTTAGCCCTCAGGGCACGGTGTGCTTTCTCCCCTCCCACCAGCGTTCTTGTACCCGAAATGCTTCACCTTTAGCTCTTCCTGGCATGTTCACCTCACCCCTCATGCCCCAGCTTCAAGAACGCCTCTTCTGAGCCTCCCATAGCCAGGTTGACTTAGAAAAACTCCTCATCCTACAGTTACATCTTTACTGTAGCTTATATCCTTAATAGAAGATCTAATCTATGATTATTTTATTTACTTGTTATCCATCTCCCTTCCTAAAGCGGACACCCTCACGAGGGCAGCCCTTGTGTTTGTTTTTTTAGCCCCTGTATTTCTACTACCCAGCAGTTTGATATTCCAATGCATACACGATACTCGTATTTCCTTCCTCTGAAAGTGGGAGACTTTTGGTATTCGTTCAAGGGTGAGCAGTGAGTGGAATAATCAAGTTGAGGAGATGCCACAAAGTAATGATTCTGGTGAATCTCAGGACAGGGGTATAACGGTAAAGGGCATCGCTAGTAAAGGCTGAGAATATTGTTGCGGCAGTGAAAGGGAAAATGTCAGGGTCATTTCTGCTGGGTTGGCCTAACTCAAAAGCTCTCGTGGGTTTTTGTCTTCTGTGAACCTTTTGCAGCACATGTCGCTGAGCAGGTCCTCCAAATATTTACTGCACAAATAACGAGTTTTTTTTCTAGATCAGGCAAATATCCCAAAGCTTACTACACGTAAGAAAACAGACAACACCTTTCCTCATAGGATCAAGTGCAATAGCAGAATGGAAAGATGGTCTATAAAATGAGGCACATTATTGTTAGAAGGCACAATCTGAGGACTACTTGATCTTGAAAAAAAAAAAAAACATACAAAGTGAAAATTGAAATCAGCTTTCTCTCTGCTTGGTAGAATAGGAAATACAGTACAGGGAAAGAACTAGCCCGTCAGTGGCAACTTGATAGAACCACAGCTGACGGGAAGGGAATGACCTCTAAGTGTCCCTTTGAAAGGACCCCAGGCTCCCTTCTCACAAAGCCAGCACACGCCCTGATCACCAACTAAAGAGTTGGGCTAGTTTGTCCTTGTCATGTTTGCCCCTGCAGCTCAGGTTGAACTTGTCCAAAACCCTGACCAACAGAGCAGAAGTTACTGTGTTAACTGCAAGGCTTGCTTTCTGGCCCTCCTCTCTCCACCCCTCAGGCGAGAATCCGAAGGATTCAGATCCCTTCAAGCTGAGTACACCCGTGACCCAGTGTTCCCTGCCCAGCACTCAGGGCCAGGCTGGACACGGAGCAGCGCCCTTCTCATCTGCAAGGCAGGTGCCTCTGTCTCCCACCTTCTCCCGACTCTGGCCAAAGCACTTTATGCTTTCCTTGTAAGGGAGAGAGAAAGCTGGCCTTGGTGGTGCACGGCTGTAAGCCCTGCAATGGGAGGCTGAGGCAGGAGGGTTATCAAGAGTTTGAGGCCAGCCTGGGCTACATAGTAGGATCCTGACTCAAAACAAGAAAAAGGAAAAGAGAAAACGCCAACAGGAGGAAGAGAGTAAAGCTTAATGGAGAAACCATTAAGGCAAGAAGAGGTATCTCACATTACCCATCTTCATAATCATCTTCCCTCTGCACCTGGACGCAGAGGAGCGCGCCTGAGCTCTGGCCACAGTTTCTGGTCCTGGGCTCCCAAACGACGCCAGCAGATTGGGTAGTTCTGCCGCACACAACCAGGTCTCCAGGGCAACGGCGGGGGCTGCCCAGGTGGCAACCAATCGGTATCGGCGGCTCTGGCGAGTCCCGCCTACCAACCATCCACGCAGGCCCTCTTGAGGCCCCGCCTCCAACCACTTCCCAAGTCCTTGCGGGAGCCGGAGCCTTGGGAGGGGAAGGCGACAGGGGGCACTAAGGACCAGAGCTGTCCAAATTTGACTATTTCTAAGTGGAAGCGAAGATGCTTCCAGGACAAAGCAGATCATCTGGGGTAAACATCAACAGAGTAAAAATGAGGGTCATCTTTGGGTTCCGCAAGAACACGTTCTATTGGAATAACCCAACCAAGGCAACCTCGGGAGTCAGTCAGTCCTTTCTCCTCTTTAGGGTTTCTTCTGCCGTCTGAGGGCAAAGATGGGCAGAGCCTCATCTGACGCTGGCCTCTGGTTCCAGACTCTCCCGGGTAACCGCACACCGGAGGCCGTCTTTGCACCCAGATTCCTGGACACCCTAACGCAGCAATAGGATGAGCACCCGGTGGATATATACGACCAGGAAAGTGTTATGTGTTGGCAGTGGAAATGAACGCAAAATCTGAAGAGTTATCTCCACTCTTTCTAGGTTTACAACACCCCAAAAAGGCTGCTTTGGTGATAAGGGAAGCACCCAGGCAGTTACTTCAAGTACTGACAAACACTTCCCGCAGTTAAGACTAAAGGTATGGCCAGCCCACTGGTGACAGAATCCTCAGCGTGTGGGTCAGCCGAAAGGGAGGGAGCAGAAACTCGGTACCAGGTGAAGTCAAAAGGCCGAGACACCACGGATTTGACTGATGAGAGATGACACTTCAACATTATAGACAGACTCTGACATCAGGAGCCGGTGTGAACATCATAAACACAACCTAGCATCCCGGAGATGCATACTCGAGTCAAATCATTTTTGGGCTGGCAATGTAGCTCAGTGGCTCTGAGTCTGCTTGGCAAGTGCAAGGTCCTGAGTTCAATCCCCAGTATCCCCAACCCTAAAAAAAAAAAAATCTTTTTTTTAGTATTTTTATAAATTTATTTTAAAAAATAACAATTGCAATGATATCAATGATTGATCACCTAGCTGAGTCCCAAAGGAAAATCAAGGCATTATGACGGGGCACCCTGTAGCCAGAAAACGCTGTTGGTCCAGTGCTACAGACACGGACCTGTTCCATGTACCAGTGCAATTAAAATATATACATTTACAGTTATCCTGCAAAAAAGTGACAGAACTATGCAGCAGACCAATTCATTTATCCATTCACTGTGCATCTTCAAGGTCACCACTACAGCCACAAGGGCAAATGAGTAAAAGAACTAGTAAAGAAGAAAAAAAATCAGTCACCCCCCCACCCCCACCTTGTGGGCTATTGTGGTGCGCTAAAAGGACCACACCAAAAAGGGTCATGAGTTGTCTGAAATGCAGCGACAAAATGACAACCGAAGCATTTCATTCAAAACAAAATTCGAGGGGCCGAGGATTTAGCTCAGCGGTTCGGTGGCCTGCCTTGGAGTTCAATCCCCGGTACCAAAAACGAAAACAAACAAAACAAAATTCGAACTTGTCCCCCAAGATGAAAACTTCGGCAACAATGTGAGGTCTATTATATACAAACTTATATCTACAAATAAATAGGACTTCAGGACTGTTATCGTAAGCACTAGAAATAAACTAGGTCTCAGAAATCTTTCTGAACTTTTCATCTTAGATTCCTAAACTGCACCAAGAGGAAGAAATTCCTCATTGTTTTTAGTAATATCTGAAACACCTGGGACAGTGAGTAACCACAACTCCTGTCAAGTACTGAAAATTTCTAGTGAAGTTACCAAGGAGTCAACCTTGCACAACTGGAAGCCAGAAATTAAGACTCCCAGGATGAGGAGGAAGATATTTCACTCGCAGTTTTGCATAGCTCTACACCTCAACTTCCGCCGTTACAGTGATAGTTTATGATGTCTTTTCTGTCTTAATACAGTTAGAGGGAAGTCAAAGAGGACCTATCTTTACTCTTTACAGGGGATTTAAACCAACCCCTGATGCCTTCCACGTTTCCGGAGAAAGCAGCCAACTCTTCTTAAATTATCACCTCAATTCTCTCTCCCAGGATTTGACATTTAGAAGGTCAGATTTCTGAGGCCCAACCCACCCTGGGAACAGTGGCTTGTTTCCTGGCCCCACAGCCCTATTTCCAGTCTGCAATTTGCTCCTGCCGTGTGGGTGTCATGGGAAAGACTTCCAGAAAATGAAAGCAAATGGCACCCGAGAATGCGCTGCCACGGGAAGCGTGAGGCAGCGTGCTCACGCTCTGGGGCCAGCTTTGAGCCAGCAACCACACCTCAGGCTCCTGCAGGCAACCTGGACTCTGCCCAGGACAGCGTGAGCGAGCAGTGTTTTCCAGAAATCACCCAGGAAGGGTCTTGACTTCTCCTGTCAGTGCTTGATTGAGAGGTTTAAATGTGATTTAGTCTTTTCTTCTCAGCGATTCAGCTGGAGAAGCATGCTGTCAACACGTAGGTGGCTGTCCTTCCTCCCTGCGAGACACGTGAACCTCCTAGTCCCCAAGCCACGGTCACAAAACCCGATTGAAAATTTCCAGCCTGTCTCTGGGAGTTACTACGGATGTCCTCTGTGCTTCTGCACAGGGGCTGCTGGAGAGTTTGTTTTCTACTTAAGAGACTCAGTTTCAAAGTCCAACACCCCCAAGTTGCCTTAAAAATAGCCACAGCAAGAGCTATAGTTCAACTGATCTGCAAAGAGGGAAAAGAAAACCACAAGAAAACAAACGGATTCCACAATCTATGTTTAGGTGCTGTGTCTTAAACGCCAACCCAACATCTGGGCAGACAGAGTTTCTTATTACCACAGAGCAGGTGACTGTTAACTCCAAGAACTTATTGTTTCTGTCACAATCTGGAGCTTCCTCATGGGAAGCCATCTCTGACTACCAAGTGTCTATCCAGTCAGTCAGTCAGCCTGAGATCCCCCAGTGGGGATGCAGTGGGAGCCCAGGGAAGGAGTGGGCCACGGCTGCCCCATCACAGTCCAGTGCCGGAGGGAGCGCGCTCTCCTCTGCAGAGATGACTGCTTGGCTCCGCTAGCCCGTAAGTGCTTGTGTACCGCTGGGCCGGCACCTGTCTCCTTGTATCATCCTAATGCACGAAATGTCAATGACTTCAACAGCTGAAGCAGGTCCTGACGGAAAGGGTGAGACAAAGGCTGGCAACTTCACTGTCCCAGACACTGCTGCTATGATAATACTGAGCCACTTATTAAAAACTAAGTGGTTTCTGTCCTGTAGGAAAGGGCAGAGTTAGTGTCCCATCGGAAGAGTCGATCAATTTCCTGGAACAGCGGGAGAGGCGAGGAACACGACCTCGATCAGCTCGATTGCGTCGCCTGAGCGGGGTTAGGACACTCGGATGATCTGCGTCATTGCTTCTTCCTCAGCTTGGTTTGGGTCCTAGACACAAAGACAGCATAATAACGATTAAAGCCCTCTGCAAAAGCATTAGGGACTGCCGGCTCTCACACTGTATCCTCAAAGGAAAGCAAGTAACTTCCCGAAGTAAACCAAAGTCCTGTAAGCACCCAGGTCTAAAACTGAGGTTTAAAATGCAGCTCCATTAGGAAGGAAGATACACCTTAGCCGCCCTCCATCATCCAATACTCTAGAGCGATAGTGTTACCTTTTCCCTACACACCATGGGTTGTGTTCGGAAAAACCAGAGAAACCATGACAATAGGCTGTTTAGCAGGGTTGGGAAAAGCACCAGAATCTGTATAATTTAATGCAGTCATTTTGTTGGTAAAATAGAGCTTGAAAGGGCAATGATTTGCTTGCACTACAGCCACAAAGTCAGGAGCCGGCCAAGAGTTCACTCCTGAATCTTCTGGCTCCCATTTAGTTCTTGCACTGCGCTTTGGGTGTGGCTTCTCACTTAAGTACGGGCTATGGCGCTAGGGCCGCTGGAGGCTTCCTGCAAGGCTCCCTTGGTCTCCCCCGCAAGGCTGAAGCTTCAGTGGGCAAGATCCAGCAATGAGCCATGACACTCTGGGGGCGCACAACCTGGAGCCACATCTCGACAGCACGCCCCGCGGAGCATCAACAGGTGCCTCGTGCGCACGCTTGCACAAAGTCCAGTAACGTCCCCGTGAGGCATCCCACAGCTTTCTGTTTTACGGATGAAGTAACACAAGCAGGGTCGCAGTGTCGGCACCCACAGTTAGGAGTTCTCGGCACAGGGCTCCTACCCACAGCTGACGACTGACAGCGCCAACTGAGCTGTGGGTGCTGAGGAAACCCAGTCTGGCTGCTCGGAGGGGAACAAGACACAGTGGCTTAGAAATGACACAGAAATCACGCATCCTGGAGAAAGGGACTGACGTGAAAACCACACTCTTAGGAAGAGGGACCTGGCAGTAAGCACTGCTGAAGGTCAACGAGGAGCCTGGAGACTGATTCGGGGACACGGTGACAGCGCGGTGGAATGTGATGCTCACACACAATCGAGTTAGTGATTCACTGATGCAATAAACTACGGAGTGAGTGTTCAGCACTGTACACGACTTCTAAGCCCAACAAATACAACAGAGGACAAAATCCACCACCCTCTACATAACTTATATTCGACTCAGAAAATCTCTCCCGAACAATCAGACAAATCAAACAATCTGATGGTTATGACACTCCAAAGAAGACACTGTGTGAAAACACTGGACTAGAAGACAAGCAGAACAGAGACCAAGAGGCAAAGGGCAAACGAAGCCAGAGATGAACAGGAGCCGGAGCACAGGGCCTGGCTGGCCGGGCAGGGCTCTGGATTTCAGAAAGTGCACACAGCAGAGGGGCGGGTGAACGGGACTCAAGCAGGGCAGTGATGCGCTTTGTGTGCTTTAAAAGTCCACAGATGGCTGAGGGAACAGAAGTCGGAGGAGGAAGACCAGGCAGGCAGCTATTCTATCCAAACCAAAGAAGATTAGATTAGACTGTTATCAGCTGGGAGGGAGAAAAACCAAATCAAATTGTACTGCAGAGATAAAAGAGGACTTCTTTAACAACGGAACTGTTTGAGCTTTTACAGCTGGCTGGATGGACATGTCACCTGTTGAGATGAGTGACTGGTTTATGTGTGATGCATAAATGCACCAAGAGTTCTGTTTTGGATGGAAATGCCTGTATGACAACTAGCGGAATTAGATGTGTACGAACCAATGTATACCTCACAGAATAAACTCTGGAATGGCATTATTGAGGCTTGACTTTCTACTGGCCACTTTATTAGGTCTTTCACCTTAGGCAAATTAGTCCTCAAAACCCCAGTTTCAATTCTACAACCATGACGATACAGAATTTGTATCTCCCGGAGCTGGAGGATGCTGTGAGACATTCAAGAGAAAGCCGAGGCTCATCTAAGTGCTTAACAGCATGGGCTGCTGCTGTCACTATTACACGATGACAACAAATAATTGAAAAATTAAAGAATTTCAGGAAGGAATGAATAGTAATAACTGGGGAAAATGAGAAGGTGAGAGAGGCCAGTGAATTAAAGCCTTTCAGTGCTTTTAAGATCAAAGAATAACTCAGAGACACAATCCTGCACTCTGTTTACGGAATGTGACCGGGCTCCGAGTGTGAAAACACAAGGGCCCTGCTGAGGCTTCCCCTCAGCGGGACACAGCAGTGATGAGGCGGAGGAGCCCCCTCCTTACCTGCATATGGGGACTGTCTTTTTCCTTGGGGGAGAAGAATCGCCCACCTTCCCCACGCTTCCGGGCCATGGCATGACGGTGCCGGGACTCGTGCAGGTATTTCTAGAAACAGTGAAACACAGCACTTAGGGACTCATCAGAACCAAGTTCGCTAGTGTAAGAATTTCATTCGTAGATGTTTAAGACATCTGTGATCAGAGTTGCAGGGATAATGAAGACTTTGAATTATGGAGAAAACACTTCGTTAGTCAGCGAATAAGAGAGCAGCTAGTCATATATGGCTACTGTAAGAATGGGAATGTTGATTACAAAGTCCTCTTCTGCTTAACAGCAGACCAAGTTTGAGCCGGGCAAATAAATGGCTGTTGGATAAAAAGTCTGCATTTCCCAACCTTATCTGAAGGTAGGTTGTGGGCAGGTAACTGAATTCGGGCCAGTGAGATACACACCACTGCTCAAGGGTGCGCATCTTTCTGGTTCCCTCTGCTCCTAGGCGAGAGCCCAAGCAGCACGGACTATGAACAGCATGCTCAGAACATCCGAGCTGCAAGACAGGAGGAGGACAGGTCTTCAGAACTGCAGAAATGTTCCGGCAGCCCTGGATAATTTATCTGCAGTTTTACATAAGAAAAAAAAAATCCTGATCTAAGCTGCTGTTTTTTTCTGGTTGATACAGCTGAAGTTACACGTAACAATAACAAATACTAATGCTTGGAACTTCAGCTGTTTGGAAGGTCCTCTAGAAAACAATGTGAAAGGTAGTCTCAGAAGCAGAAACCTGCTGTTTTCTCCCCGAGTCCTCAGGATTACACGTACCCTTCTTTCCTTTGGAATTTTCCCTTCTGCCTCTAGCTTAGCCCGGGCCTGCCTCCTCTTCAGAATACGGTGGTACTGCTTGGCGTTCACATAGAGGGGCTCTTCCTCGAGCATCTCCGCCCCAGGCAGCGGGATTCTCTGGATAGCAGGCACAGAGCCAGCTCCAGGCACCATCTGTGGGACAAGGAAGGCAGAGCGTGTCACTGCACGCAGTATGGACACAGCAAGCAGTTTCCCAGAGCCTGATAATCTACTTTCTTCTGAAGGCCAGAAAAAAACAAACAAACAACTTTACAGGATGCTTGGTTAAATGAAGATTCCTGGAAAATATTACATTAAAGGCCTGAATTTTAAATAACCATCTCAGATGATTCCGTCATGGGGGCTCAGGCACCACTGAGAATGGTTCCATTTCTATGTCTGCTGCCACACAATGACCAGAAACAGGCGTACGAGACAATGCCTCAGCACAAAGGCAGGCACAGGACCAAATCACTAAGTTTGCTATACAACCCTAACTTTTCTAAACACACAAATGCCCACTGTACCACATACATGAGGAAGTAAGTAACAGCCTCCTGTACCCCACCCCTTTCCACATGTAACCACTGTGCACGATGACACAGATTCTTCTGGGCCTCTGCAGCTCTGCAAAACTCGACTCCTCACTCTTAAGTTATCCACTCTTTTCTGGGCACTAACATCCTGGTTTTTTGTTGTTGTTGTTGTTGTTCCCGGGAATTGAAGTCGGGTCCTTGTGCTTGCAAGGCAGGCGGTGGCACCACTGAGCTAAATCCCCGGCCCCTAACATCCTGTTTTGAAGGGATTCGGCTTTTATTATACCACCCGACTCTTCCTGACTTCTTAATAATTGCACCACACATTTCTTGCTTGCTCTGTTGATTACAATCTCATTATTTTAGGTTTTCTGGGCTTCGTTCAACAGGGGCGATACAATTTCCATCTCCCAAAGACTCCCAGCGCTCCTTCCCCTCCATGGGCAGAATTCTGACCATGTGAAATTAGACAGTCACACCTGTCTCTCCACTGCTGCGTCTCCGGCACACAGCAGGAACTCCTAACAGCGATAGTTCAGTGTAACCTTACTGTGCAAGTGACTCTGAGTGACTTAAAGACTGATTTCAATTCCAAGAAGTCAAACATTAGCACCAAGGTCTACAGGAGATGGGAGCAATTTGTAAAGACAAAGAGATGCATAGAAAACTGTAGCACACAAAGAGCAAGTTGAGCGATCCGCTTCCTCACCATGACCATTCCTCCTGAGTTGACCACGTTGCCTGCCACCGGCAGTGTCACGGTGACAGTTCCTTGGCCACTGCTGGTCGTATTGGTGTTGGCTCCAGTCTGTACAATCTGTGCTCCTGCCAGACTGGCTGCTGGGATGGTGATCATGCCTGAAACAGGGACTGTGACTTTAAGAAAATAAAACATAAAACAGGCACACAGAACGGAAAGAAGGGAACACGGTTAGTCCCTCTTCTAGATGGCACACCCTCACCAACCCCAGAAAAGCAGCAGCGAAAGAGCGCTCTGCCACTTCCTCCCACTGGCTTGTCCCAGTCTTTGCAATTTCTACTAAGTGCCTAGGACCCCAAGTAAAGTACATCCATCCTTGGGATGAGCTGCTCCCCTGGGCATTCCAGGTATGCTTTTCTAAAGGAGGAGAAAAAGTTTCTACGGGTCTGATGACAGCTGTACCCACTGCTCGCAAACGCAGGAACACTGTGCTCCAGGGGACAGATGCTAAAATGTACGTTTATCCCAAACTGACAGCGAGTCTAGGACAGGAATAAAAGTTAAAATGAAGTCAGCATGTCAAGTCCCTGCTCTTTAACAGCTACACCTGAGGACTGGTTCTCCATCCTGCCTGATCTCTGGATCTTGCACTGTAAAGATCTTCATACCAAGTTAAAGCTTTAGTCATGGAATCTGACACGGACATCACTGACCCAGGGGAAAAAAAAAAAGAGTAACAACAGCCACCTTGATTACCAATGTATTTCTCCCTTTACCAATAAAGAAATTCCCTGTTTTAAATCTTTTATTTAGAATGATCCTGACCATTAAAACATCATAATCCTTTGGGCCAGTCTGTAGCTACCATTTTTTTTTTTTTTTTTTTTTTTTTTTTTTTTCCGTGTTTGACTCTTTTTTTTTTTTTTTTTTTTTTTTTTTTGTACCAGGGATTGAACTCGGGTCCTTGTGCTTGCTAGGCAGGTGGCGGCATGACTGAGCTAAACCCCCAGCCCTTGTAGCTACCACTGTAAGAACATCATTCTACAAATGGAGACAGGGCTGGTGATGGGACACTGACAAGGAACAACAATCAGTGAAGACTGAGAGAAAATCTTTTTTTTAGGGGAGCGTTTTCAAAAAAATGCACAGAATTTACAACTAAAATTCTGAAGCACTCACAGTTGCCTGGGATGAAAAAGACACTCAACGAGTCCCTGGGATGCTCAGAGCCCCCATACCTTGCTGCAGAATGGTGCCGTCCGCGTTGACTGGCTGATAGACAATGGTCTGCCCTTCGGCGGTCTGCGCCACTTGCTGCCCCTGGACAGCGATCTGCTGCTGGGTCTGTAGGAAATGAACGAACAGGGAGGGATACAATGCACTCATTCCAGAGATAGCCACAAGGAAAAGGACTGTGGGGGCCTCTAAAAAATCCTGGGAGATGTCTCGCTTCACCATCCCTCCCCAGGCAGCTGTGTGCCAGGGCTGACAGAGCAGCGGGATTACCTGCGTCTGGCCTGCCGTGACCGCCGTCTGGGGCTGCTGGATGATGATCTGCTGGGTCTGACCCTGCTGGCCCTGCACCTGCACAGCCTGCCCGCCCTGGATCTGGATCTGCCCAGGCGGGACCAACTGGATCTGAGGAACAGAACACAGGATAGCAACCTATAGACACCACCTCCCTCCAGTCCCCGGATGCTAGTTAAATAAATTCCTCTAGATAGCAAGAAACGCTCTAAAGAGGGAAGAAGACGGGGGTCCTGTTCTGTTCTTAGTTATGAATTGGTGAACTTCTTTTCCACTTCCAAGATGAGCAGGGAATTCTGAATACACTCTGGGAATCAATGTCTGCTTTATTAACAGTGGTGGCATGACTGTTTAAAAAAGTATATTCACTTAAAAATACACAATGAAAGGCTTTTACAGATGAAATATTATATACATGTGTACACTCACACATGTATTTGAAATACATTCATCACAAATCCGATGTTTACCTGATGTCTTGACACCTCAGTGATGGCCTTGAGAGAGATACCAAGGGAGAGAACTGTGCCAAGTTGTGCCAGGACTCCTGACACACAGAGATTTTTTACTTTAAGCCATTAACTTCTAGGGTCATTTGTTATGCGGCAATAGGTATGCAATATGTCAGGTCATGGTTTTCCTACTCCTGTATCCAGTACTCTCACCAACACCCAGAACTATCATCACTGTGTAGCAGCCTTCTGCCTGCACTTCCTATGTGGTCCCTAAGCTAACGCTCAGAAAGCTAGGGGGCCAGGGACTTAGCTATGTGGCACCACACCTACCCTGCAACGCAAGGTCATGAGTTCGATTCCCGATCCACCCCCCCCAAAAGCAAATAAGGAAAGTGAGGGATTCTGCGGTATCCAGACCCATTTTCTTTCTTATTTTAACGGCTACTGGCACTTTATTAGGAATATCATTGGAAGCATGAGAAGTTTGAGAAGTATTTCTTTGAAATTTTGTAACCCAAAAAACTTAACAAAATACTTTAACTGTTGGTTGTTCAGAATATTTTCATATGACTACAGGACACATTTCTTTTTAATAATCAAAACAGAAAGCACTTAGCAAGGCCCTACAACTTGAAATTTCTAGTATTTTGTATTCAAGAAAACTCCCAATCCAAGAGCACGCAGCTACCAAGTACCCCAGCCCACAGCACCTTCATCTCTCCTCTCACCAGCTCTGTGACCATTCAATCACTGTTCCACAGATTTTTTTTTTTTTTTTTTTTTTTTGCAGTGAGCTGAATCACTTGCTCCAACAGATACATTTGGATCTGAGTGTTCTCCAACACAACTTGTAGTTTAGAAAGAGGGCACTTTCGGCAAGATGGATGTCTACCACCCTTGTCCTTATATCTGTATCTATTTTTTGGTTTTTATTCTGTTTTCAGTCTGTACCAGTCTAGGGATTTTTTATTGTTATTGTTTTTCAGAGACAGGGTCTTGTTATGCAGGTCAGGCTGGTTCTGAACTCACTACATAGCCCAGGCTGGCCTCAAACTTGTGGCAGTCCTCCTGCCTCAGCCTCCCAAGTGATGCGATTACAGATGTGTACCACCACACCTGGGCTAGCCTAGGGATCTTAATCTAAAACCACATGTAAAATTTGGACATGCTAGATACTTGCCCCTTTTTTAAAAGGGCATAGGCTCCACTGAATTCTAAAATGGAGAACATAATCCAAAAAAAGGTTGAATAGTCTTTGTTTAAAAAAATGGCTATTCAAGCTGGGTGTCCGGCACACACCTGTCATCTTAGCACTGAGTGAGGCTGAGGCAGGATTCCAAGTTCCAGGTCAGCTTGAATAACTCAGACAGAACCCATCTCAAATTAAAAAACAAAATGTATCTCAGTGGTAGAGAGTCCCCGGGTTCAATCCCCAGGACTAGGTGGGTGGGGGAGGAAGGTTATCCAAAGGACAGTAATGAGAAGCAATCTCTCATAAAAAGGATTAAAGTCTCAAGCATTCTAGGGGTGACTGCGATCTTACTGCTTTATATGTAAATCATTTTTCCCAGGTGCTCAGTTACAGTCTTACTCTGAGGAAGAGAAATAACAAGGTCTCTTATAGGAGAAAGAAATAAGGCCATAAAATCACAGACTTTAGAGCTAGAATGAACTCTAAGTATCAGCTGATAGAAACTGCATTTATGGATGGAGAACAGACGTGTGATATAGCCAAGATAGGAAAGCTTGTGTGACAGACTTGAATCAAAATCTAGTTGTTGCACCCACAATATCCTGTCCCATCAGTGAGAAGGCGGCCTCACAGCAGGGCTGGCAGCATGAAAAGGAGAAAAGCATGCTGAAAATATATTTAAAGCCTCATACATCTATGCATGATGAAACGTGCAAACTATTTTTAACCTTGACTACAATTCTATCCTGGCCAAAATATGCCAATAGCTTTAAAAATGTTCTTACAGTTTTCCTGGAGCAACGGTCACTCCAAAGAAATTACCCTAAAATGACAATGCAAAATAAAACTATTGGGCCCAAATGTATTTTACCCACAAAAGCAAAACCAAACAAGCCCTTAAATATCTTTTGTAAATCAGAATTCAGATTCATTGAACTGACTGAATATTATGAAAAAAAAAAAAGGCAACTAAGAAAACTGTGGAAATAGATTATATTAAAAAAAAAAAGTAAAAACCCTAATGCACAGTACAGTTAGCTATGAACAAAAACTAGGCATAAAATTAGAAGGGGGAAAATGACAAGTTTATTTGATCAGTAGTATCATCATGGTTGATTTATTTTCAACTTACATTAAATTCCTTCATTAAAACTAAGACACTAATAAAACTTCTGTAACTACCAACACAATATACACATGTAGTAAAAAGTGAACAGCTCTCCTGCATCCATTTTTCTAGGCTCATAAACGTACAACCATGGGGAACTGGTTATTAATTATAAAGATGAGATCACAGTCTATACCTGAACATTATCTTTCACTAAAAATACTTTAAGATCAACCAAAGTCACGAGCTGCTCATCCTTTTTTAAAAAATGTTTTCTTTTTGTGTTTTTGCAGTATCAGGGGATTGAACTCAGGACCTCGTGTTTGCGAGGCAGGTACAGCACCACTGAGCTAAACCCCTGGCCCTAGATCTCATTCTTTTTAACGGTGACATGATATTTGACACCACTGTCTTATCTTCCTTACAGACATTCAGGTTATAAACACTTGTTGTATTAGTACAATGCTGTATGACACGGTTCCACACATTTCTACATACACAGCAATGCTTCCTGAAGGACAGATTTTAGAAGTAGGACTGGTAGATCAAAAGGTTTGTATTAAAAAAAAAAAAAAAAAAAAAGGTTTGTATATAAGGGAAGTGAGATTCTTCCAATTTGAATATTTGGAATGTCTTCCAAACATGAATATTTCTATACCCACTGTTGGAGCAGATATAATCACGCTTATTTTTTTTGCCCAGTACCAGGGATCGAACGTAGGACCTTGTGCTTGTGAGGCAGGCATGGCGCACTGAGCTACAACCCTGGCATAACCACTTCTAAAAACTTGTGCTAATTTGATAAGTATCCCTCTAATGTTAAAATCTCACGAGAGTTGCATGTAATCTCCTTACATATTTCTTTCCATGGGGCCTGCACCTTTGTCTTGTTTATCTTTCCCCATTTCTCGGTCAGCGAGGTAACTCAAATACTAATTTGTATGGAGATAAAAATGGCAACATTTCTGAGTACACACAATGTCTAAAGCAGATTGTAAATTCTTTCTCCTCTAGCCCTTAGGCACTCCAACAAGTTACTTAAACTACATGCGTATCTTTTTATATTCTTTACAGCAATCAACACCATGCCTAGTAGTCCAGACCTTACCCAAGAGTACTACACAAAGGTAGGAAATTGACTACGTTAACTGCAGAGCAGTGATGGCGAACCTTTTAGAGCTTTCATTGCTGAAAGTGTGCTGAGGCCCATGTGCCACAGGCCCGCTGCCCCTGCTGGAGGGTGGGAGGCAATCAACACCAGCATCAACTGCCACAGGTCACAACCACCCGCCCTTTAAGACATCTACACATGTCAAAGTGCCCCTCACCTGCTGCAAACTCTGTGTCCCAGACACAGGTACTTGCATGATGGTTTGGCCTTGTCCCCCGGGGACGGCCTGGACCATGATGGGCTGGCCGGTCGACGTTATTAACTGGCCTCCACTGACTTGCACCATTAATGGTTGCCCCTGGACCTGGAATGAAGGAAAATGAAAACAATGAAATACCAGACAGCACGAAATAATTTTTACCAAACAACAAGCACTGGGACTATTCTGCTGTCTTGCTGGGGCGGGAGCAAGAGAAACACTAAGACAGTGAGTTGTTGGTCCTCAAGTCATCTCCTCTAAGTAGCTCTGATGCCTCTGAATCAACATCAAGCTACACATTTCAGGTGAGGTACAGGGGAGCATGTCTAGTCTTCAGGAAGTCTCCACCTATATAAGGCATGTATCACCAGACATAGCTACATCCACGACAAACATTTAATCAAGACGTCAAAGATACTTGCCTTTGAGAGACCTGAGAATGGCCCCTAAAGAGGGCCGGGGAGCAGGCAATGAGGGGGTAGGGATGGGGGTCAAAGCAAATCACAGGTAACCCGAAGCAAGTAAACAAAGCATCGAGTGTGACACCAGGAGGCTGGGTAGCAAGAGCTCTGCAGGCCGACAGAGGACCTTTCCTTCTCCCACAGCCTCCCAGGCCAAAGTGAAATGTACGCCCCCTACCTTACCACCTCACTGAGATCTAGCGAGGCCTGCTGCTCAATGGGCCCCTCTGCAATCTTTGCTGGATAGTTCACACTGGAACCTGTAGTATCTGCCGTTATTTTAGCTTAATCGGAAGCAAAGACTAAGAGAGAAGTTAGGCAGAGCCCTTAGGCACACCGACAGAATTCTCAACTTTCATGCTCCTGCGAGAGCACGGACCACTCCAGAACCCGTGTCACTCAGAGTGCTCCGTCACATCTTGAGTCCCACCGTGAACATAAATACCCAGCAGGATCCTTTTGAGGGGCCGAACTAAGCCACTTTAGACGTGAATGAGTGATCCACAGAAAAGCTACAAGTCCCCAACTTTCATTTTCACATTCTACTGTCGAAGGACTACTGGTAACAAAAATATTTATAACTAAAAGATCGATTCATAATGCCCATAACAAAACGCTTCAACAACAGTTAATCAAGTTAAAGTTCAGTCTGTGGCAGGTGACTAGATCACACTGTACAGCCACCTACCACCACTGTCATCAGAACTGTAAGAACCCCGAGGTCACGGGTCTTGTTACACGGTCCCTTGCGAAACTCCACTTTACAGCCCGATGACCTCATGCTTTCTCCTTCCCTTACACGCAACTTCCCTCTGCTACACGGATGCTCCCTGACGCTGCTTCAGGACCCATTTATCAGCAGACTTTCTGCGTGAATGACTATTTGAAATTCTCCGAAAACAATGACACCCCCAGAGGAAGACTTCCACAATGTGTTTCCATTTCTTTTCTTTTTTTTTCTGGTACCAGGGATTGAACTCGGGTTCTTGCGCTTGCAAGGCAGGCCACCAAACCGCTGAGCTAAATCCCCGGCCCTCCATTTCTTTTAAAGAGAGTCTAAGTAGTTAAGTTTTGAGGCACACTCTTAAAAGTTTTCTAGCTTTCCACCATCTTAATTCCCCCCCCATTAACATGCTACACATGCACGTAGTAAATGATTTGACTCTCAAAAGCCCAGTGTTCCCAACATATGAATGTTCACAGAACACATGCACCACACAGAAGCCATACAGTTAAAAGCACGTCACATCCCATTCTGCGAGTGGTTAAAGACAACCCCAGATACTGTTTTATATATGAATAAGACGAAGCAAGCATGAATGACACAGACAAGCTGTTGAACTCTCAAGATTCCCATACAGAAGGGGAGCACCCACAAGTTTGGCTTCTTTCAGCTTGATTTAGGTCAGGATCAGCAGACACTGCTGGCGGTGGGGGGTTCCAGGGGAGAAGGGAGACATTACAGGGAGGGCCAGTTAACTGCGAGAGGCGGAGTAGCTCAAGTAGCAAAGTGAGGTGCCGGTTGTACATTCTGGGCCACCCCTTAAGTCACGTCCGTAGACGGAGGGGAAAAGGGCATCTGTATTGTGCCAACTTCTCAAAAATAACGGTCATTTTAGTCAGGGTAAAGGAGACAGAGCAAAGGCTCGTGCTCCTACTACTACTTTTATATAGGAACTAGCTAAATCAGAGACCCCGTTTAAGATACTGAACTTGGCCACACATAATGTTACTTAACTGTACTAAGAATTTTTCAAAAGATTTTGTTTTCTTTTTGTAACACATCCAAATAACCAGTAAGAATTCTGACAGTGGCTGTAGCAAGTAAGTGGTGAAAGAACATCCCATGTCTGCCCAACAAAGGGTACAAGAATAGCCTCTGCGTAGCTCTAGTAGTAAGAGGTTACCAGTTCCCCAGAAGAGGCAGTGAGCACAAGCTGGTTACCCAGAGGTAACGAGAGTCAGTGCTCAGGTAAACTTGCCAAATGCAAGGATTATTTTGCGGTCAAGTTTAAAGTACAGTCTCACCTAGTTTGTGTCTTTTCACTTCTAATAGAATACAAACTCAAAGAATTGTACCATGGCGTCATCAAGGTTATAGAGTTTGAGCACGGAACGAATTCCAATGCCACTTGTGAGAATTTCTCCCTGTCATTTTGGTATCTTTTCGAGGGACTCCTCAGAAACACACTGGCCAAACAGTTTTCAGAGAACAGATGCAGTGTTCGTTACAGGACTTGGCAGCAAACATTAGGAAACTGGCACCTTGTAATAAAAGCCGTAGGGACAAGTTAGCAGCATCAGAGACATGCGACTGACTCTGCCACTCCTACTGAGAACACAAACAGCACCAGACACGAGGAGGACAGGTCCATGCAGTGCTCGTGGGGAATCAGAGAGGGCACCACTACCTGGAGGGTCTGGACTTGCTGGCCTGAGGCGGATGCCACCTGGGCCTCAGTCTGCAACTGGACAGCAGTGACACCACCCTGCTGCTGAGAACAGGAACAGGAAGAGCTTCAAATGCGTATAGTTGGAGAAGCGAGCATCTTACTCTTACCTCTAGTGGGAGGGCAGGAAGTCTTCTTCCATCCGCCCACCCCACCCCGGGACTCCCGAAGTGCAGACTCCCTACACGGAAGCTGCCGTGCAGCAGGCTGAAGGCATCTGCTCTCGGCCCCCAGAGTGGACCTCAAAACAACTTCCCCAACTTGTTAGAACCTGATAAATTCCCACAGGTCAAAATAACACCACTGACCAAGAAATTTACGATGTAGTCCTGCCCTTGAGAAACAGGACTTTTCACCCTCCTGCTTCTTCGACTGTTTTAATGCTTCTTATTTTCTCGAATTTAAGTTCGTAAGAACAAAATTTATCAGGTTCTAACAACAGCCGTGAAGTTATGATGAAGATTTTCTGGGGCATAAATGCAATCTCAAGAAATGAAGCGTGAACGAATCACTGTGAACCAAAGTCATCTTCACAAGACCACTGCTTTTTTATGCCCCTGAAATAAGATTTCTTTCTACCCCACTGGACTGCCTAAGAAGTACCCTCTGGGGTGACTCAACTTCCTTGGCATATCCTTTTGTTAAGTCCCGACAGAGGAGACCCCAGCCGCCAAGGGGTGGCATTCAATCCCCGGGAGGAAACAACCACCCCACAACTGAAGGGAAGAGGGCAAGGCAGTGTAAATAATCCATCTGCCTAACCAAGAGGAGCTCCTTCCTTTGATCTTTAGATCAAACAGCGCACTGTCAATAGTTCCTCCGCCTTCCTGCCTATTTTTCTACATTAGCTATGTTCCATTTCAAAGACAGAAACATTCCCAAGACCCCACTCTTGGCCCATTGTCAAATGGAAGCATAATATTTTCTTTCTTCTTCAAGGGGTAGGGGAAAGTGAAGTTTTACTAAACTAAACCCAGGTTAAAAAGCATAAAAAACATTGTATAAGTACGAGGACACACACTATATTTTCAAAGAATAAACCTAAAGCTGGGGCGTGGTGGCACATGCCTATAATCCTAGCACTCGGGGAGGCTGAGACAGGAGGATCATGATGAGATCAAGGCCAGTCTGAATTAGAGTGAGACCCTGCCTAAATTAAAAAAAAAAACAAAAAAAAAAAACAGTGGGAATTCCTTCCTAATGTGCTTAAGCATTAAATGTGGCTGTCTAAATATTATCCTAGTGTTGAGCTCAAGCTGTTCAGAGTAAGTACGGTGGTGGGCCAAATCAAAGAAGAGATTTCTTGAGCAGTGATACTGTCTACTGTGGCCAAACCCTCACTATATCAGCACTGAGCTCAAAAGAGGATAGAAACTAGCAAATTGATGTTGGAAAACAAAAAAATTCAAATTCCCACATGAGAAACGCAGTGTTCTGACCTTCAGTGAGATAAAAGGGGTGATTTACTATTAAACTAGGACCCCACGAAGGGCAGATCCAAGGTGGTTACAAGGTGGTTACGGGCTGTCACAAGTGACCAGATCCTGCCTCAGGCTGCGGGCTGTACCCTCTCTCAGGTGCCTCCCCCACCGCCCAGCGCTCCTGCGGGCTCCGCCTCCGTACCTGCTGCTGGATCTGACCGGCCTGCACGACAATCTGCTCAGTGGAGCTATTGCTGCTGGCCGTGTACTGCTCCATGACACCTCCTCGTCAGAGGCCTCTGCACAGCGAGCTCCCGCTGGAGACAAAGCTGGGGAAGACATGGAAACGAGACGGTCAATGAAGGCCTTGCCAGACAGGTCACCTTCATAATTTATTGCCGTACTTACCATTTGCAAGGAAATGGGGTGAGAGAGCAGGAAATGTTTATATTTAGTATCAGTTTTTACTATAGTAGGATTCTATGGCACAGTAATAGCATAATACTATATTCGCTAGTTTTTAAATTTTTTTTTATACCGGGACTGAACTCACGTCCTTGTGCTTGTGAGGCAGGCAGCAGCACCACTGAGCTGAATCCCCGGCTCTTTAAAATGTTTTTAGTGGTTGTTTTTTGGAGACAGGATCCCCCTCTGTAGTTCGGACTGGCCTCAAACTCACTGCGATCTTCCTGCCTCAGCACCTGAGTGCTGGGGTTACAGGAGTGCACCACCTCACCTCGTGTTTTAGTCACTTCTTATTGCAATAATTTTAGTATTACTACAGCAGCACTCACACCTCGGAATTACTCAGAAAAGCTCTTTGTAACAAGGCCTATTTTTCAATTTGTTTTTACAGTAGAGTATAAATCTGGTAATATTCAGATTATTTTGGGGGGGATTATGAGTTTTCAGGTCTGTACATGTCCTTTTCAGAATAAAGGTTCCTTAGTTTCTCTAATTTGTACCACACACTTGCTGCCCACCAAACATATTACTAGTTTGGAATTTAATAGAATGAGAATAAAAGACAATCATAGTACTGACATAGGGATACTCAGGATTAGTTTAATAGCACCCCCCCAACCATGGGAAGAGGTTCCAGAACCCCCATTGGATGCTGGAAATCCTGGTGTCATACGTACTTTTCTCATTGCTGAAACGAAATGCTCAACACCACAAGTTAAAGGAGGAAAGGGTTATTTCAGTTCAGTTTGTAGAGGTTTCAGCCCATCGTCGGCTGGCTCCAAGGCAGGGAGGCAGAGCAGAGGGGCATCGCAGAGCAGAAACAGTCCATGGTATGGCAGGGCAGGCAGAAGGCAGCAAACCTGCTCTCCCTTTTATCCCTTCCCGGTCACCCACACCCAGAATTATGCTAATCCAATCAGTGGACTAATTTAGTAACCACACACCCTTGATCCCAGCACCACACACTCTAGATCCAGCCACCTCCAAAAAGCCCCACCTATGACTGCATGAGGCTTTAGGGGAATGTCTGGATACAAGCCCTAACACCTGTATAGCGCCAAGCCCTAGATAGCCTCTTTTTTTTAAAATTATCTCCAGTGTATTGCCTGCCACACCGTACCAGTCCCTCTCCTTCCATGTTTTATGCACTGGTATCTCGTCAACATAACAATTCTTGTACTTCCGGGTCATTATTAGGTGAATCGAGGATTCTGTGAACACAAGCAGTTTAGTATTGTAATAGTCAATTTGATAACCTAGGCAGCTAGTAAGAGACTAATGGGTGGGTAGTTTAGACTTCATTACTTTGCCTTGGACTACATGATGTGAGATTTAACCACACTCCCAGGAATGGCATGCACTGGAAAACTTCTCAATTATTCATCTCTGCAATTTTCAACTTAGTACAGTATCTTGGGACCACGGGCAACTGAAACTGCGGAAAATAAAATGACAGAGAGGGAGCACTGTTAAGAAAAATCTCTAAGTGACTAAGGTTATAATTTTTTAAAAAAAAAGACAAGACAGGGCCGGGATTTAGCTCAGTGGTTCTACCGCCTGCCTTGCAAGCACAAAGACCGGAAGTTCGATCCCTCGAACCAAAAAAAAAAAAAAAAAAAGACTTAAGATACACCCCAGTCTTGAATTTAAATACCTACTAATACTTCACTCTTTATAATTTCAACTTTTAATTTTGACAGTCTCCTTCTATATTCAAAAGTAGAAAGAATAGTATAATCAGCCCCACAGGCCCATCACCCAATTTCCCACGTCTCATCCCCTTTCCATCCTATCCCTGCTGAAGCAAATCCCAAGCACCATTGTTACTCCAAAAATTCTCTACACACTGTAGCACCTATCAATACTCATTTGTCTTAAATCACTTTATCATAAAGCTATCTGAATACCATTTTCAAACATTATGGAATTACTAAGTCCTTAAGAATCATCAAGGATCTACAGTGTTCAAATTTACCAGTTACACACCTTAAGATCTGAAGACACTTTTCCGTAAACAAGGACATTATTAGATATATTGGAGTGATAATGACGAACCCTAAAGACTTCACTCAAAAACAGATTATATAAGTCACCAAAGGTAATGCATCCTGGAAATATGGGGTGGGAGGTATATATAAAAATGCACATAAACTTTCATTTTTTGCTCTAGGCTTTTATGTATTACAAAATTTGGAAGCTCAAATTACATAAACTAGGCGTGTCAGTGAGGTGTCACAAAGGAAGAAATCACAAAATACGTGCCAGAGCATAGATCTGCAAAGTTCCCAAAGGGCCCATCTTGGCACTCTTGGGAGGTGGCACAGACTTGAAGAGGTGAGGCACCACGCGAAGCCTTTGGTCACTGTGCTATGCCCTCAAAAGGGAGGGGACCTGTCTCTTCCTCCCAGCCACGAGGTAAGGTTTTTGCCAGCAGCTGCCTCACCACAGGCCCCCAAACAATGGAGCCTTCCATGGACTGAAACCTCCAAAATTGTGAGCCAAAACAAACCCTTTCTCTTTATAAGCTGATCATTTCCAGCATTCACCACAGCAACGGAAAGCAGGCAAAACATTCAGGTTCGTGTCCAAGCATCGAGTTCGAAGTGCAGTGACACCTAAACTTTACTAACATGCATCCAAAATACGACGGACACAGGCAGAGACGTGGATGGGTCTCCGGCAAGGCTGGCATGCGAAGGTGGAAACGGCAGAGCCAACTGGGAGGCAGGCAGGCGGTTCCTATAAAATTCTCTCAGCCTCACTGCCCTGTCCTTAGCGGCACTGTCGTGGCTGCTGCCATGAATCTACTGAAAACATTTACCTTTCACAGTCATTTTGACTATGAGGACGAGTCAGAAGTCTTACGGTCCCAGATTTGGTAAATAAGGTGGATGCCGACGCAGTAATGTTTTTAGGACTTACGGCGTCTTCCTTCGACTAATTTTCAGAAATTTGCATCTTATTCGATTAAGTTATAAAATGTAACCCGAAGCCCACATGGGAATGACTAATAAACATAACATCATGCAGATTTCCTTTTTAACTAGTTTATTCTGGTCATACAAACGCTCCAAATTAAGAACAAGTTCATTACACCCTGAAGGGTAAAAACGGAAGCAGCAAAGCTCTCATGTTAAGGGGGAGTCACCTGGCTTGGGCACCACCTGACGCTGCTTGTGGTGGAGGCCGGGCCACCGGCCTCGGAGAGGCTGTGTGCTCCTACTACCGTGCTTGGTAACTGACAGTCTTTCCTCGAGGACTTGTCTGCCCAAGAGTAGGACAAAGGTAAGTCAGCCAGATTTGTCTGTCTGGCTCTTGCTCCTGACACAGTTCCTAATACAAGGGTAACAGTGTATGTTTACTCCGGCTTTTGAGAAAAAGCTTCTGAGCACCTCTGCCCTAGGACTTCAAAAGTGCAGAAGTGGAAAGTTAGCCAACCACCAGGAACTCACTGTATATGGACTCACAAAATCTGAAGCTAAAACTGCCCGAACTCAGCCACGGTTTCTGACAGCCACCACCACGCACAGCCTAGACTAGAACTTTGCGTTTTTTTGTAAACCATAAACCATAGTTTGCATCACCACTCACTGCATACATAACCCACACACATATATAACTGGAACAAGTTTCATGAAACAATATCCTTATATAACACATGCTTTGATGCTTTCGATTATTAAAAGCACCAAGGTGACCCTCTACATTTATTTCCTAAGACACGAAGTAGGTTCTTTTATCAGTGTTTGATATAAGCCTGGGCAATGAAGAAAGGACTGTCCAGCTTCCCCATCATCCTATAGAAGTTTCTGGGTTGGAGCTTAATTTGCTTTTTTCCCCCAACATGTCAGGCACCATGTCAGACAATGTCCTAAAGTTTGTAGAACTAAAAAGTAAACTGAAAGCCAGGTGTGGTGGCACACACCTGTAATCCCAGCACTCAGGAGGCTGAGGCAGGAGGATCACCGTGAGTTTTCAGCCAGCCTAGGCTAGCTACACAGTGAGCTCAAGGCCAGCCTCAACTATTTAGCAAGATTTTGTCTCAAAAAATAAAACAAAACAAAACAAAACAGGAAACTGATGAAGTTTCTAACTTCAGTCTAAGTTTTGTAAAGGAGTAAAAAGCCATTCTAGGATCTTAAGAGAGAAAGTACATGGGAATTTGAGGCACAGATTCATCACACCTGCAAATAAACCACAGCAGGAAACCAGGAAATGGTGCTGGATGAACTGGTGTGAAGTGTGACAAGTACCGATGTAGAAGCGAGTGGAGCATCCCAGAAGGAGAGCATAAAAATAACAGAAATTTCAGCATATGAAGAGCACAGCGAAAGGCCTCAGGACTAGAGGGAATGAAAGATCACGATACTGTCCCTCAGAACGGCAGGCAACGAAGTTCTCCTGCAGACAGGCGCAGGCAGGCTGTGGAGATGGATGACTGCCTTTCACAAAGACGTTTTGCAGAAGTTATTTGGTAGTTCTGCGGGCACCATATACGACCATTTAAAATACCACAATGAGCTGGGCATGGTGGCGCATATCTATACTCCCAGCACTCAGGAGGCTGAGGCAGCAGGACTGCTCTGAGTTCCAGGCCAGCCTGGGCAATACAGTGAGTTCAAGGCCAGTCGGAACTGCAAATCGAGACCGTGTTTAAAAAACAAAACTAAGCCACCCAACTTCATGTATTACTGTGATAATGTGAGAATTAAGTGGATTTTGAAAACAATTCAAAGAGAAAGCCTTCCTAGAAAGGGCAGAGCATTTCAGCTGAGGCGAGGGCAGAGAGCACACATTTTCTCAAACCTCTGTTTACGTGAACTCAGCAAGTAGGACCCTGAAAAAGGGGCACCTTATACTATTGTCAAGAGTTGCAACAGATGTTTCATCTCAGTAAAAACCATTTTGGTCTCTTTGGGGGGAAAAAACCAGAAAAAAACCTCTTTCCCTTTCCCCCCCAAAGAAGCCAATTACTATTAGAGAGCTGATCCCACAAATCAAACCAACTTGTTTTAATCTTAGGGAAAGCGTATTTACCAACTGGACTTTCCCGCCTAAACTCTCCATAACACCGCCCACTTCCCTACCTACTTCGCCTGTCTCAAACACACACCGCGCCATCTGGGGCTCCTAAACCAGCGCTCCTCTCTTCAAACGATGCTCTTCTAGGGCCGGGGATTTAGCTCAGTGGTTCCGCCGCCTGCCTCGCAAGAGCAAGGACCCTAGTTCGATTCCCGTGTACCAAAAACACCAAAACAACCCAACCACTGCTTTTATTCCATCCGAAGAAAACTCACGCTGTTGCCAGCTGGGGCCACAGAATTCTCCGCAGTGGACCGGAGCACCCATAGTGGGCTCGGCCTGGGTGGTTCTCAGCCCACTCCCTCCTCGCTACAAAGGGGCTGCCTGGTACTGCATATCGCTCAGTAATGAGATGCCAAGGGCGACTTCCCCTCACCCTCGCAAGCCACGCAACACTCACTTCTAAACACATTTCAAACAAAGGTTAGCAGATCAGAAAGGGGAGAAAGGGAGGAGACAGAGATGTGTGGACTGAGCTAACGGGTGAGGCCTGACGCTGCAAAGTGACAAAGGTGAAAGAAAGGCAGACGGATCGCTGCGTTCCCGGGAGAGCCCGCACGGATTATGCACCACGTCCGAGGCGCAGAGCAGGAAGGAGAGCTCGGCGGGCTCGGGCGCGGGAGGAGGAAATGACGGCGGGGGTCACCGGGCAGGCGGGGCG